TTTGCCCTCAATATTTTTTCACTCAATTTCTCCTATCACTTCCCGCCAAAAACACTCTCCACTTTATCTACCTTTTTTACACCTTCTTTTTGACCGAGCCAGCACACTTTTATGTGGAGTTTGTCCCACCAATTGAATGATATGTGAAAAAAAGGAAGACACCTACACGCTATTGCCCATTCCCTCTGCACATTGATAAAGAAAAGAAGTTTGCTCTCTTGTTGTCTTGCATGATGTATATAGCATGGGACAAAAGAAGAACGAATATAAAAAATATTGTGAACGTTATCACAATTATAAATGACACCACATGCATTGCCATACTTGACGCCAGTGTAGATAAGGCCCATCATAAAAAAGCCTGTATGTATTTTAAATAACATATTTTTTTATTATGTATTAGTAAATGTATTTTTTATGCTAAATAATTTGTGTAATGTATTTTTTATGCTAAATAATTTTGTGCTTTTTATTTATTGATGTATTATAATTTCATTTTGTATTTTTTATTAAAATGATAGCATATGAATAAAAATTCGCACAACTCATTTTACTAATATTGGCTTACGTGAACACAAACTTCTCTAAATAAATGCTCGGAACTCCGAAATACTCGATAAATGTCCCGCATGACATCGTGCCTAAATTATCTACAAGTCCCAATTCGATTCACGGTAAATCGAAGTCACACGCGACCTTGCGGGGCCCACGTAAACGGCTTTATTTCTTTCAGAAAATTTTTACATATTAATATTCATAAATATAGCAAACTATTTGAAAGAAAAATTAAATAAAATAATGTTTTTGTTTTTTTTCTCTACACGTATTGTTATTGTATAATGTATATCCTCTGGTAACATTTTTGTGCTTTTTATGTATTGATGTATTATAAATTATTTTTTTTATTTTTTAATATTACAATGATACTTTATGAAAAACAAATTGACCTAGTCAAACGATTTTATTTCATTCAAATTAAAGTTTACAACACACATAAATCATATAACATAAATAAAAATAACATCATTAAAAATTAAAACACACAAATAAAAACAACATGATTAAAAATCAGCCAAATACTAATTAGGAAACCATACTTGTCTTACAATACATGATTAATAAATAAAAACCATACTTGTCTTACAATACACGATCAATAAATAAAACATACTGTTACATGAGTAACACACCAACTAACGATGCCTGCCACCTTGATCGCCCCATAACGCATCATCAATTGAATCGCGCAAACCAGACTGTTCACATAAGCCAACAGTAGAGGTATCTAACGTTGTCCTCAAAGGCCTTGTATGATCATCTGCATCTGGTTCTGGTATGTAGTCTGGGTCTTGTATTGCAGGAGGTACGTTAGCAAACTTTTGGTGTTCAAGGATGAAATTATGTGCAACAAAACATGCGATAACTACGTCTGTCTGGAAGTCAGGCGAGTAGTTGGGCATTAGGCCTTTCATAATAGGAAACTTACCTTTGAGTATACCAAAACTACGTTCGACCACATTTAGGACCGTCGCATGGCGTCGATTAAATAGCTCTCTTGCATTTTTAGGGGTTTGGTTTGACCGAATCCTCTCCGGGAGATGATACCTATCGCCACGATAAGGTGACAAGAATCCCGGGATATTGGCATAGCCTGAGTCCTGTTGGAACCCATGAGGATCTCGATATGCACAAATCACGGACATACATTCAACATAAACCTATGCGCAGCGGATCTAAAGGTTTGATGTAGAAAACTTACGACTTAAAATTTATGTAGATCTGGCTGGCCCGAACAGATGACCGCAAATCAAATCTTTTCGGAATCGAACAAACTTGACCAATCCAGAAAGCTGGCGTCCCGGCGAAGTCAACGGTGTTGACCGATCGGAAATCGGAGGGTTCACGCGCTCTCACGCGCGCGTGTAAG